GGCTCTCAGGTCCAGGATCTAATAGAATGATGGCCCTCAGGTCCATGATCTAATAGAATGATGGCCCTCAGGTCCGTGATCTAACAGAACGATGGCTCCCAGGTCCATGATCTAACAGAATGATGGCTCCCAGGTCCATGATCTAACAGAATGATGGCTCTCAGGTCCATGACCTAATAGAATGATGGCTCTCAGGTTCATGACCTAATAGAATGAGGGCTCTCAGGTCCATGATCTAATGTTTTGTTGTTGTTTTAGTCTCAATCTGTCCAAAGAATTTTGTGAAAACTCTTTCCAACAAACTGCAAGGCATCAGCATGTCACACATTCTTGGAATAACACTGATGCTTTGACCCCTGGAAACCAGGAGATTTCTCAGTGATGAGTGGGTGCTGTCGACCACAGCCAGCCTTGACAGGACCCAGAGCTAAGAACACAGGAGCATGTTGGGGGATGTGGATGGTCACAGGGTCCCCCAACCTGGCAGCCCCTTGGGATGCTGACAAGGAGGGGGACACACAAGTCGCATCTCAACAGGCATTCTGGTTAGGTGATGTCTAACTACTCAGCTCTACCCTAGACCTCACAGCCCCAGAGCTGAGTGGCAGGGGTCAGCTCCTGGTCCCACAAGACACACTGGACTACACTTGTGGCTTTGGTTATGTTTGGACACGATTCTCAGACTGAACTCCTGTTCCTGCCTTCTCCTCACATCACCTTGTCATGGGATGGAGAGTGCTGAGCTATGTTGTGTAAAATCCTTAGTTCTTTGGGTCCAGATCTCTAAAATTAGACACCTGTCCCAAGGCGCAAAATAAAGACACAACCATGACAAAAGACGTAGAAAAGAGAATTTACTAGGAAAGGAAGATTTTAGAAAAGTACATCCAAAAGACCTCTGGGCAGGTTGCTAGGTAGCACTGTGCTGGGAACTGGCTAGGTGCTACTTTGATAATGAGGGGAGGATGGATACTCAGCAGTGGGAGGTCTGTCACACTATCTGAATTCCTGGGCTTCTTCCTGGCTTGCAGCTCTCACAGGTGAAGAGTCTGAGGACTGTGCTGCCCTAACTGCGCGTGCCCAGTGTGAGCCGTGATGGCAGGAGCGCCCTTATTAGGATGAACTGCCGGATTCATTTATTGCCCCATTGGGAATCCGGATGTTGACCAGAATGTCTGGTTGGGTCTCTTTGTATTTATGAGGAATGATAAGAAGGAACTTTACAAGTCCTATGTATCTTCCTCAGGTTCTAAAGAAAAATGGGATCGGCCCTGGCCTTCCCGGTACCAGGAGCTGGGTGGGAAAAAGGCATTTTCAAGGAAGGTATGGTTGTAACTCCTGACAAGTTGTGACTGAGTGGCAGGTGTCCTTCTGCTCTTCTCTTAGGGCTGCCCACTCATTTACACCTAACTGCCTATCACAGCTCTGCCATGTCCCTCCATCTGGATGTTACATAAAGACTGAACTATTACCACCGCTTTCATATAAGGGGTTTAGATTCCACAACCACCACTTAGGAGCCACGTGCCACGGAACAACTACTTTATGTCTCTAGGCCTATCTTTCTCAACCTCAGGTAAGTCTTTCCTCACCTGAAAAAAAAATATGGGAGGAATTACACTTTACCTTAACATATTCCTTTGCTCTTGAGATGTGTGTACTGCTGAGGCTGGCCTATGTCAGGGGAATTGTGGGGACCAAGTGAGACAACACACCAAGCACTGTAGATGTTTATTAAGTGTCTCTGCCCTGGAGAGCTGCCTCCTGCCAGGTTCTGTCCCAGACATACCTTTATAGATCATGGCTAGTTTAATCTTTGCAAAAACAGGTTTAATTGTTTAGTCATTAATTGATCTTTAAGGTATTGCCATACCCAGACTTGACAGCTAGGAGTTCAAACACCCTCAGCTGAGCTGTGTGTGTTTTCATGCATCAGTCAAACGGGGTGACTGTGTTATTTCCCATGTCTGTCTCTTACAGCTGGTTATCCTCAGACCTTCCCACCCTCTTTCTTCTCTCCCCTAGAACCTGTGCCACTCTCTTGTTAACTTCTCTCAGCCAGTCCATGTAACCGTGCCAAGTATCTGTTTCCTGATTTCCCTGAGCAGACAGGAACACTGATGGCAGTGTGCCTCCCTTACCCCTCGTAGTCTGTACAATCGCTCCCAGTCCTGACTTCTCACAGACAGACTGCACTCTCCTCCGAGTCCACCCTGGTCCTTGTACAGAGGCGCTCAGACAGTAACACCACATTCCTTGTCTGCTGGCTGGATTCATGAGTGGATAATGCTGACCGCTAATTAGTATTGATCCGTTATTGCTACTATTAAAATATTAGAGGTTGTGGTAAGGGCAGGTGTTGGCTAATGCCTTCCAAACATACATGGCTGCACTGCGCCCACATGGATGTTGGCAGTCTCCAGGAAAACGACTTGCCCACATGGACCATCAGAGAGGTCCAGTGTCAGCCAGTCACCTGCCTTTCTTTCAATTCCTCACATGAAAAGGTCCTTCCCATTACTCAGATATAGCCTGTACAGCTAAATTATTCAACATAAATTTCCTTCTGGGGAAAAATGTTAAGTTTTTGGCTATTTCTAAAAACAGAAAACCTTTCTTACCACAACAGAAAACCTTTCTTACCACATTCTTGATCATTAGCCAATTCCCCTCTTATCACTAATAACTTTTAGCATATAATAATTTTAATTTAAAAAATTAAAGGATGTTGGGGCCGGCAAGTGGCATGGTGGTTAGGGTGTTGTTAGACTCGCACAGTCAACCGTGCTGTGAGTCCTTGACCTAGTGACTTGCCTTCTCACTTTCCCTTTCTCTCTTTTTCCATATCTCTCTCTGGTCAAATGAAAAAATAATAATAATAACAATTAAAATAAAATAATTCTTTTTAAAAATTACAGGATGTTATAACTAGATCTTGTTTTATGCAATGGGCAGATCAAAGAGGCTGCTTCATATAAATGGAATTTCTATAAACCCAGTAATAAATGTTATAAATTAATTAGCAAATGAAATAAGTATCATTTTGCAAATAATGAGGTATTTTAAAATTAAATAATCACTAATCTATCTGATTTATAAAATTAGATTTTTATGTCATAGGGTTGCTCAAACTGGAACCATGTGTGCTTTGGAATCCTCTTGCTAGGCAGAATGTTTAATGTTATTTTTTTTCCTATATGCCAAATTCATCTTAGATATTTTTCCCCCATAGGCTGTGTGCACTCACTGAAAAGACACAGACAGAGGGGACCAGCAGTTAGCATAATAGCTATGTTGCTGGACTCCCACGTAGTAGACCACAGTTCGCGTCCTGGACCCGGTGGCTTAAAACTCACACCAGGCTGATGTGCATGCATGCCCAAGAAGATCCTGAGAGGAGAATGGAGGAGAAGGGATTGTGGCATGGCCATCCCCCCTGGGGGGTGATTTCTCACTTTCTGTCTCTCTGTCTCTCTGTCTGGCAAGTGCATGCACCCTATAGCAGAAACCTCTCCCAAGGAGAAAAATAAGACACAGACAGAGACAGAGACAGAGAATAGTAAAGTGAGAAATCACTCCCCAGGGGGTTGACCACACCACAATTCCTTCTCTGTTCTCTTCCAGGGATTTTGGGCATACGTGCATACATGCCTTGCGTGAGTTTCAAACTGCTAGGTCTGAGACTGGAACCACACTCACCCATGTGGGAATCCAGCATCTTAACAACCATGTCACCAACTAGCCCCACTTTAAATAATTTTTAAAGTCACTTTATCTCTATTCTTGGCTAACTTTGTGAAAATCACATTGTAGTTATTGGTTTGATACATTTTCACCACACCTAAAATCACCTTCCCCAGGGTAAGGACTGTGCTCATTCCAAGTATTGTGCACAGGCTCCTGCTAGGTCAGTGCCAACTTAGCTAAGAGTTACTTTTTCACAAACGTTCGTCTAAGAAAAGATACTAGTTTTGTAAAAAGTCTCTGTAGTTTCTCAGACACATACTTATGTTCATCGTCTCAATAATGGCTAATGCCACGAGCAACAGCTTAAGCTCCAAGTTAATAGAATTCACACACTCAAATGCACACAGACACAATTCCACCCACATGGCACATGCTCTTTCCAAAGAAACACATTAGTATTAGGTGCACAGATTTAAATATTAAGCAAGTTGCTTCTATCCAGTTAGGAAAAATTAAAAGCAAAGCTTTCACTCCAACAAATTCCTCTAACAATACCTGAGTCACTAAGGGCCTCCCCATCAATAAAGTGGTCATCGAACTGTTTAAATGCTGTTCAACACACAAGTGAAGACAGAGATGAGCCCACGAAACAGTTACAGTGTGCGTGTACACGTGAAAAAACTAGCTGGCCATTAGAACTAAACACAGAATTATAATAAACACAGCAACTGCTGGCTTTGACGATACCTAGTAACTTACTCCTAACAGCACCCTGATCAGCCTTGTCACAAAGTCTCGGAAACACTGAGGAAACATACACCCTATTATCAACTGAGATTTTACAATCGGATCCCACCTAAGGACGTGTCTGTGCAGAGCCTTACCTATGGGTGACTCTCAAGGGGTCTAAAGAAATACCTTCACTGGTTCTGTGTGGAGCACCACCTCAGTGGCAGCCATCTCTCACACGTGTCCATCCATGTGAGCACAGAGGGGGGTTCCTGTATCGCCTACATCTGACCAACAGCTGCACCAGTGAAACTGTCTGCGTGTTTTATGTCCCATGCTCACTGGTCATGTGCAATACTGTAGGGAATGCACCATCAAGAACAGAGCCTTGGACTCCTCTGGCTGCGGTAGACAGGGAGCCAGAAGCCCTGGGGGCCTGGGCCCGTGACAGAAATAAAGGCACTGAAATGGAGGTGGGGAAGTGACTTTAGGTGTCATCCGCAGCAGTGGCTTGGTCCACGAGAAAAGACACGTGGCCTTGTGCAAGGACGTCACAGATGGCCTAGGAGACTGGGCAGACTTACCCTCTTCATCAGAAACATCAAGAACCTCAGTCATCGTCTCAGGAACATTTAGCTTGTGTTTTTCTGTGATGGTCTAAAAAGACAGAAGTCATTAAAGCCCAAGTTAAAAAGGAAACCAAACATGATGAAAAGACCACAGAGAAGACCACACCCACAGGAGCAGCGAGCCATGAGCCCCGGCGACCACCTTCTCCACAGGCGTATTTGAAATTGTGTTCTCTTTCACAAAAACTCATGTATTCTTTCTAAAGATAAATAACCATTTACTCCAGTGACATTGTACAAGAGAAAGTTCATTTCCTATTGGGAAAGTAAATATTTTGTCAATGGCATTAATAATCAGTCATATTGAGAAAGCATATTAATGTTCTCATGGCTCCCCTAGAGTGAACTAAGTGATGTTTTCAGAAAAGCTTTAGAAAGAAGCAATGAACACATGCAATTTATTAAAAGCAAAGCCATGGTAAAAGCAGTTGTAACGAGGACGGCGTAAGCCATCTGGGCAGAGCACAGCAGGGCCTCTAGGGCGAGAGCCCAGCAGGAAGCCAGTTGCACACACAGCCCCGCTGTGCTGCGATGTGGCTTCCTCTCTGCCTCCAGGAGAGTTCCCAGAGCAGCCACACCCACCACCTTCCATTCCCTGCGTTCAGTGGAAGTTTCAGAGACCAGGGTCTGGAGCCCGGGAGCCTGGGTTAGAACACGAACACCGTGAGCCCTCAGCAGCCCCGATGTCTCTGTGCCTTGACCGCCTCCTCCACAAAGGGGCGCCCTCACGTGACGCAGTGGATGCCATGCACCGCACCGGGGCGGGCTCCTGTCCTGGGAGCTCCCTGTCACAGGGTGCGCCTAGCCATGACCTAGGCCAGCAGAAACTGAGGGCGGGCCAGGCAGAGGCCCTACTGGGGACACCCCTGCCACCTCTCTCTCACAGAACAAACACATAAATGAAACAAACAAACAAAAACGACAGTAATTCATGAAAGTATTATGAAGCTTAAGTGAAATAATATGCGTAAGAGCTCTGAAAACGGTGTTTGGCATGTGTTAGTACTTCACACAGACTGGCTGGTCCAACACGTTTATCCTGGAATGCAACATTAAACTCATCTTGAAAATAAAGCATTTCTGGGCTTGCTCTCTCACTTCCCTCCTTCTCTCTCTGGTGAGGGCACATGCTCTATAACAAATATAAAAATAATAGTAATAAATAAAATTAAATAAGTAATTTAAAAAAAATAAAAGGTTTCTGAACATTTGTCACAGGTACATGTAGGAAGCACGCTGAGTGCCTCGTAAGCTGGGCACTGCTTCAGACCTCCAAGACTCAGGAAGACTCCGAGAAACTAGTGATTTGGGGTTTTTTATTATTATTTATTTATTTAGCTATAGGGCATGTGCGCTTGCAAATAAAAAAAAAAATAACACAGAGAGAGAAGGAAAGAGAGAAATTACCTCCCAAAGGGATGGCCATTCCACAAGCCCTTCCCCTCCACTCCTCTAGGGATTCTGAGGATGCATGCTCATGTTCCCAGGGCCCGGGTCCAGGACATGAACCACACAGCCAGCCACCTGGGATCCAGCACCTTAACCACCATGGCACCTGCTGGCCTATATGCCAGTGATTTGTGAAGAGACAGAAATGAGCCATGCACAGAAGACAACCCCACGGGATCTCACGACACAGGGAGTCTGAAAGCCCAAACTCACATTAGCAGAGAAGAACGGCAGTTACCAGGACTGGGGGTGAGCGAGGCGGACGGGGTGGTGTTGGCACAAAACGTCACTCCCACACAGTCACGATGCTCAAGAGGTTGCTGTGCAGCATGGGGTAGCTGACAGGGGCACGTTGCCCTGAGGTTGCCGGGAGAGACTCCAAATGTTCCTGCCACACACAGGCAGGCACGTGCGGCAAGAAGTGCTGTAGCCAGCACACAGTGAACACACAGACACAGGGGTATACCTTAACTACGTACAATTCTTTTTTGTTAAATAAATAAGACAGATGTGCAAAAGTATAAAAGCCCAACTTCATGACCTTCCAGGACCGAGTCTCTAATTCCTATCTCCAGTTTCTGCACTGTAAATACATTAAGTGTATCAATTAGCATGGTTATAAAAACTTTAAAAAATAATCCTCTAAAATAAGAGAAAATCAACCATGGAAGCCACCAAAGGCTGGTGCTGAAGCTTTGCTGGATAAATGTGAGAGGCTTGT